GTAACTGTATTGTTGTTATCCATGTTCCCCTGTAACTGTATTGTTGTTATCCATGTTCCCCCGTAACTATCTTGTTATCCACGTTCACCCGTAACTGTATTGTTGTTATCCACGTTCCCCCGTAACTGTTTTGTTGTTATCAATGTTGCCCAGTAACTGTATTGTTGCTATCCATGTTCCCCGTAACGTAACTGTATTGTTACTATCCATGTTCCCCCGTAACTGTATTGTTGTTGCTCATGTTTAACATAACAGTATTGTTGTTATCCATGTTCCCCTGTAACTGTATTGTTGTTATCCATGTTCCCCCGTAACTATATTGTTATCCACGTTCACCCGTAACTGTATTGTTGTTATCCACGTTTCCCCGTAACTGTATTGTTGTTATCCATGTTCCCCCGTAACTATATTGTTGTTATCCATGTTCCCCTGTAACTGTATTGTTGTAGTCCATGTTCCCCAGTAACTGTATTGTTGTTATCCATGTTCCCCAGTAACTGTATTGTTGTTATCCATGTTGTCCAGAGTCACTGTATTGTTACTATCCATGTTCCCCGTAACTGTATTGGTGTTATCCATGTTCCCCAGTAACTGTATTGTTGTAGTCCATGTTCCCCAGTAACTGTATTGTTGTTATCCATGTTCCCCAGTAACTGTATTGTTGTTATCCATGTTGTCCAGTAACTCTATTGTTGTAGTCCATGTTCCCCCGTAACTGTATTGTTGTTATCCATGTTGTCCAGTAACTGTATTGTTGTTATCCATGTTCCCCTGCCTCGTTGTTATCTTTGATCTTCCATGCTTCACCATAACTGTGTTCCTTTCATACATGGAAGCTGTTTTTTGGGCTGGTGTACATCTTCCCCTGTATCTGAGTTAGTGTCAATGGCTGCATTTCGTTCTGCTTCTGTGTTAGTATATACATGTTCTATATATCTGTATTGTGTTCGTTTAGTTAAGACATACCTTCTAGTTTTCCATACATCTTCTATGCCGTGTATTTGTCACACGGAAATGGCTATGAGCCAACTTGTTACATATATAAATGCATATACACCAAGGATGGTTTCACAATGAGGAAATTAAAAACCTCAATTTGTGTTGTGGCAATTTTAGCTTCCAGCCGTCGTGGAATCCACGTTGAAAGATTCACGAGTTTCGAACTTCCTTGATGGCTGGTATTGTGTTGTCAGATCCAGCTACTCTCTACAGAAAACTCTGTGATAATCTGCAATGGTTCCTTCTTTTACCCTGGAGGGAATCGAACCTCATTCTGTGTTTGGCAGCTTCACACCAAAGTGAGTGGGGCATGTTTGACTCCACTTTGACTATCATTTAGGTTATATGAGGAGTGTGTAAGCCTGTTGTGACTCACAGGTATAGTGGTTACAGACCAGGTATATCATAATCAGGGCGATTCAGGATTTGCTCTCCTCTTCGTCGAGTGAGTGAGTGAGTGAATGAGTGAGTCAGCGAGTGTGTGGCTGGATTCACATCACTTCATTCACACACGGCTTCTCATCTCCACTCAGTTCAGAATAGCTCAGAGTGAGTGAGTTTAGTTTACGCCGCACTCAGCAATATTCCAGCTATATGGTGGCGGTCTGTACAAAATCGAGTCTGAACCAGACAATCCAGTGATCAAAAACATGAGCATCGATCTGCGCAATTGGGAACCGATGACATGTGTCAACCAAGTGAGCGAGCCTGACCACCCAGTCCCGTTAGTCGCCTCTTTCGACAAGCATGGGTTACTGAAGGTTCATTCTAACCCGGACCTTCACGGATAAAATAGCTCAGATCAGAAACTTGTACTACTTTGTGCTGGCTAAACTATGAAAATGATACGGACGAACCGTAAATAAATTCTTACTGAGTAATATTTCAGTTATAACAGACACTGTTGTACTCATTATACGGTGCTTTATTAAATCGACCTCAGCGTCTAGAGGCAGCGACCCCCAGTCTTGGAGAAGCGATGGGTCCATTTCTGGTACTTGCACTTCCAAGGATCACAGCAGTGGGTGGTCCAAGCAGAACACTTGTCGTTGTACCAACCACACCGGCCTCCGAAACCCAGAAGCTGTCCGTCACGCTTGACGTCACTGGCGTCACCGTCACTCGCTCGTCTCGCGGCCGAGCTCAGACTGAAACAAGGATAGGAAGTTATCTAGGGGGATTTTACGGCGCTTGAAACAATATTAAAATCATCTGAAGTTGGGTCTCTACTACACTTTGGGTTGTTATTTGCTGAACGTTTCGCACAAAACATTTCTGGAATATTTTGATATCTTGAAGATCCTCAACGTTTCAATCGATTAATTTTATGTTTGCCAAATGATCAAATTAAATATTCAGACAAGTCACATCTGTGCCCGTGGAATCAAACCAAGTCAAATGTGTTAGGTGATGTAGTTTATATTTTGTTTCGCTTCGGACTGCGAAGTATATGATTTTGATATACATACGGCCAACAAAATTCCAAGTCAGAATAGTCCTGTAGGTGTGCGTGTAAGTTATGGATGCGGTGTATGACATGATTTACATAGTGTTGTAGTGGTGTGTTTGGCTGCCACATCATTGGGGGATCCAGAGGGGGGTTCAGTGGGTTCGAATCCCATCCCCCTTTTGAAAATGACTTAAGACCTCATTGAAGTAAATGTTTTTGCATAGGCGGAGCCGAGGAGGGGTTCAGTGGGTTTGAACCCTGAACACCCCATCCCCCAATCCCACCCCCTTTGACAATTCCTGGATCCGCCTCTGCATATGCTGCAGTGATTAACTGTTTGTTAACGTTGTCCTAAACTGATGACGTTCAGGCGGCAGACAGTGATATTGACACTGTTGCATATCTCACTTGGGTAATCTCGAGGCTTCATGATCAATTTGGTAATTGACAAAAACAGGTAAACAGCTCATCGATTGTATTCCTTAAAGAACAACCAGTTGCTTGATGTCATTTAAATTTATATTACACAAACAACGGTTGATTGGAGACATTTACCTATAGAAATGGTGTTGTTGGTCACCCGGTGCACTTATATTTTATCTAAATATAGAGCATCAATGAACTAATGAATAAACTCTCAGCAATATGTCCATATGACAGTCTGTGAAACTCCCAACAACCACAGGAAGCCCACAGGGCTGATAACTGAAAAATGTTGCTGGCCCCGTTAACAGGTAACCAGCCCTGTATAAAAAATAAGAAACTGAGATAGGTGTTAAAATAAATATAATTAATGAATAAATACATATTCGAAGATGTGTGATTGTTACATACTATTAGAAAAGAACAACATTGTTCATTGGCTGAAAGCATTCTCTAGACCAATCACATTTAGTGTTAGATAAATGGGTAGGCTGATCTGTGGAAGTTATGGTTTGATTGATCATGAACTATACAGACGTCGTCTAGCTACCACAATTGTAAAGTATTTTCGAATTTTTTCCCGTACTCAATGACATGGTTATATATATACCCTTGGAATATGTATTGGCCTACGGGGCTGGCCCGCGTTTCACAAAAGCCTCCTAAATTTAGTTTCATGAAAAAAAATATCTGAATGATACGCAAAATATACATCATAGTACTGAAAGGGGTCAGAAGGTTAGGACGATCGTGTTTACTTTTTTTTCATCCGACCTTCACCTCAAAGCTTAATATGTAGTATACCACAATGTTACGTTGACGTGTGACATCACAACCGATGACCGATTTCTTACAAAATGGCGGCTTCGCTGACAAGGGTACACAGGATTTTGCGAGGACTCTTCCCTTGCTTCAGGGATCGTTTGTACATATGAAATGTAAGTAATCAGAGTGACTCTGACTATCTGTGTATTGTTATATGTTTTCTTTGTAAGTAAGAGAAGAAGCCAGAAATGCTGATAATTACCGTTGTCGTTCTGTGTGATTTTGCGTCTGTTATGGCGTCACGCTGCACGGAAACGTTGACAATTTCTTATGAAGTATCAAATCATTGCATTGTATCTGTTTTAAATTTCCTCTTTCTTGCTATGCTACTCTTTCCATACATATTCTAAAGGTATTGAGCCATTGCAAGCAATGAATAGCCGGCTGCTACGCAGTATAAATCGGATTTTTTCTTTGTGTACATTTCAAACTACAGTAGCGTTTGTTATTGGTAACAAAGACCAACTGTGATTTCATTTCAAAATTTATGGGGAATTCAGTGATGCATTTGTCGCAGCTGACTATGAAATATACGTTATGTGGTAATAGGCGTCTCAATACCGGCCTTTGCGAGACGTGATTTTCTAAACACTATCCAATATGGTGGAAAGCGCACTTCGGCGTTCGTGTAAGTATATTTTCGAAAACATCCAAACCGATTCTAGGTTCATCGGCAGCGTTTCAGATTATCATTAGTGATATCATGAAAAACTGATTTCAGTTATCATTAATATGTTATTTTTGAAATTCAGTACTCCCAGTAATTATCCGATTTTCACATTTGAAAACATACTGTCTACACTGTACAGCAAATAATGCTGTGAATCGTGATTTCGTATTGTGTATAAAATGGCGACATTTACGATGAAGCCTATTTTGAAAGGTTATTTAAGCACTTTAGCTTTGTCTTTTAGTGGATGGTATCAAGAAACAGTGAATTTCCCGCAGAATACAAAACTGTGAAGTATATTTGTGTGCGTGATATATTTACAATTTTATTGGACTTCAAAGTGAGGGTTGAAGAGGAAGGACATATGTCCCTGTGGCACCCAGGGTTTTTAATCAAGTCCAGATACACGGCCAGAGCACTAGCGGTGTCGCGGAGTATTCTTGACACACTAGCTCGGGATACTCCATGGAGATCCCCGATTTCACTGAGGAAAACCCCATTTGCCAAATACCTCTGTGTACACAACACTTGCAGGGAGGTCGGAACAGCGTAGGTTTGTTCATTTGGGGCTCTAATGAAAACAACACGAGTGCCGAGCACGTTCGACCTGTCTCAAAATTTCTCAGGTCTTCTTTGTTTGCGCGTTTTAATCACTTGCAGTGCCATAATCGCTGACGCTATCTTTGTAGTGTTTACGACCTCGTAAAGCATTTACGACAGGTCAATCGGGGTCCTAAATTTTGGGCTGTTTACGACACAGTGTAAATATACGAGGTCCTTCTGAAACAGGGTAAAAAAGTAAGAGGTGGTCTACGACCTGCTTTACGAGGTCGTACCGGTAAGAGGGCTCTGTGCTATTAAATAAAATTAACGTTGTAAGCCCGCCATGTAACCAGCAAGCAGCGGGCCGCCAGGCAGGCGCTATTTCATACAATGTATATAACGGTTGAAAAGGAAAATAATAAATGAATATCTTACCTGTCGATCATATCTTGAACCTGTCCATGAATCTCCTCTGAGTTGTCTTCTGCTCCTAATGAAAAAAACAACAGACGGTTGTTAAAAACAGGACAAACATAGAAAACTACATAATTTTAGATCGGGTAGCCAGGTGGTTCAAGTGGTCTCTTGTCCTTGTTCGATTCCAATGCTGGGTTCCTGAAATGTTATAGTATCAAACCACACTCACTCACTGACGTGCACACATCCAGCCACATAATGCGGCATCTCTTGACGTCACGCTGACTCATGGGGTCACTACTTCCGTATGTAGGGTTCTCTGGCTCGAACAGGTTGGCGCTTAGTAATGAAATCTCTATTTAACCTTATTAGTGTTGCACGGATCTAATTCAACCTTGACGCCATACTACTCTCGAGCCCATACCCCGTAATAATATTCGGTTCTTATCCACCAGCTGACCTGTAAAAAATGAGTTTTGACTAAAACAAGTGCCTGGTGGTTAAAGAGTCCGTTCGTCACGCCGAAGACCCGGGTTCGATTCCCCTCATGGGTACAATGTGTGAAGCCCATTTCTGGTGTCTCCCGCCGTGATATTGCTGGAATATTGCTACAAGCGATGAAAACTAAACTCACTCACTCTGACTTAAATGACAGACAGAAACAGACAGAGTTTATTTGCAGTAAAAGGCCATAGGCCCAAAATACATTCAAAGGAAATTTCAGTGTAGCCAGGGGCACAATGTGCTTTCATGTGTGTTTATAATAATCCTTTTAACATAAAATAGATACAAGGTAGTATTAGTATTCTTGAACAGATTTGCTAAAGAATATACAGTATAAGGCTTTTTAACACATTTTGTAATAAACCTCTCTCTTAGGTGTGAATAGGATTCACAAATGAACAGTACATGGAATTCATCTTCAATATAGGTAAGACCTTTAGATTTGCATGATATACAAAATCTTTGATTATAATCAGTGTTGTTATAACGCCCGGTTTCTACAGCTATTTTAAAATTACTACACCTAAATTGTGCTAAAACAGCTCTTAAATGTGTAGAAAGGTTAAGCGATAAATAACATTCAACATTTAACGCTGATTTAAAATACTGATAATAGTTGCATTTGGAAGAATATTACTCAGGGAAGAGTACCAGGACTGTTTTAAATTATCTGATAATCTTTGTTTAAATAAGCTTATAAACATCTTTACATCACCAACATCTTGGCTCAACCAAACATATCCAAAACCAAAATTAAACAGAAGATTTTTAACTTTTGATGCCCATGTAGTTCTACCACTATCATCTAAAGACTTGAGCATAAGGTAGCTTTGAAAGGTAATCTGTCATGAGGAAGTTGTAACAATCTACACCAATATTTGATTACACGGGTCATATAATTAAGCTGCAGGGGCAATCTGCCACATTCACCCAGGGCCATGGAATTACAAGATGACCTATTTATTTTCAGATACTTTTTACAAAAATCAAGCTGTACCGATTCAATACTTTTACAATAGGAAGTTCCTCATATTTCTGATCCATAGCATAATATTGGTGTGATCAGTGCATCAAAATCTTTGAATAGATCTGTACAGTTAATGTTTCCGAATTTCCTTTGAAAGTGATTAACTGATAAAATTGCCTTTCTAGCTTGAGAAGCTAAACATAATTGTGCCCTGTACCAAACAAGTTTTGGTGTAAATATGATGCCAAGATATTTATAAAAATATACTGTTTCTATTTGTTCCCCATTAAAATACCACTTTTCATAAGACCTAAGAGGCCCACAATTTATGAAAACAACCACTTTTGTTTTCTTAAGGTTTACTTTCATTCCTGTTTCCTCGCAAAATAATTCAAGGGCATTTATCTTTTTCTGCAGTTGTTGTGGAGGAAACTTTGTAAGCATGTCTAGGCTGGGCTTCGTCTACACAAGGGGAGGTGGGGTAGCCTAGTGGTTAAAGCGTTCGCCCGTCACGCCGAAGATCATGGTTCGATTCCCCACATGGGTACAATGTGTGAAGCCCCATTTCTGGTGTCCCCCGCCATGATATTGCTGGAATATTGCTACAAGCAGCGTAAAACTAAACTCACTCACCCTGGCTTAAATGAGTAAGTTGGGTTTAACGCCATTTACCTTTGTCAGCTTATCGGCGGGGGAACGCCCCAATTGATGCAGACCTCAGAGCTTTATGAAACACAAGAACAAGGTCATGGCCCTGAATAACATAGAAACCAGGATCTACTGTTATAGCTTTCTGACGTGCCCACATTCCAGCGTCTCGGGCAACTGACCCCAAACATACATTGTTAATCATGAATTTTCTTTGAATAAGTGCAATAAACTGTGCTAAAAACGCCGACAAAAACAACGTGAAAGCTTGGGGCGCGAGTCTGAGTGGAGCCGCCTCGGTGTAGATCTTGGCGGTAGTAGCAAATATTCATGTTCTTAAAATTTAGAATGAAACTTCTTTTCTATCTACACCACGATCCTACAAATGATTATGGTGTGTACAGATATGAATAATTATTATTGCTTATGTCCGACAAGCGTGTTAATAGGGCATAGAGTCTACCCCCAGCAAAGTATCACCCTTTGGAATACAAATATCTGTCTGTTATAAATGTTGGCCATGGGTCAGCCCGATGCTTAAATCGTTCGCCCGACGCACCGGAACGCTGAGTTCGATTCCTTTCAAAGGGAACAGAACAATGCGTGAAACTCCTTCTTGCTGTCCCTTGTCGAGATATTGCTGAGATATTGCTAAATGCGGCGTAAAATCCAGGTCACTCACTCAATGTTATAGCAATGTTTTTATTTTTGTGTTCTCATTCCCTTGCCTTTCGAGACCGGGTATCCATTTGTTGCCAGGTTATCACTGTCAAGTTTAAGTAAAGAGACTTCAAAATATAATATGACATGAGTTTAAGAGACCAGGGTGTAAACAGATCTACAAAGCAGTGAAATATCCGTTGTCAAGTTTAAGACGGCGTTAAACCCAACTCACTTACGGTACATTGGTTGAACACGTGCCATCGTAACCCGGCGAGGGGTCATCGTTGATCATGATATCGACCACTGGTTTTTCTGGTCCACACTCGCCTATCGATTAATTATATATCTCTGGAACATGACAGAGTGTGGCATTAAATAGCCAACAATGAAACAATTCAACCAGAACAAAACGGAAAAATATATCACTGACATTTAGTTTTGAAATCGGAGACCGCCTCCGTGGTGTAGTGGTTAGAGCGTCCGCCCGGAGAGCGGAAGGTCGCGGGTTCGATCCCCGACCGCGTCATACCAAAAGACGTTAAAATATGGTACTTGTTGGTCCCTGCCTGGCGCTCGGTATTAATGGGTACAACAAGGACTGGTCGGCTCGGAGTCAGTATAATGTGTCTGAGTGGGTATTCATGCTTCACTGCCGCATGGTATCTCAGTGGGCTAGCACTATAAAACCAGCTTAAGTCTGGGCTAGTACAAGCAGCCGCACATACACATACACACGCATGCACGTCGTCATATGAGCGAAATATTCTCAAGCACGACGTTAAACCCAATTTCACCTCACCTCACCTCACCTCACCTCACCTTGAAATCGGAAAATTGCGTAATTCATGTTTATGCAGGCTATGAATGTTTAGCCATTACTTTAGCAGTGCTGCTATCACGACCAAGTAATATGAGGTTAAAACTGACGAATACTCATCAATAACAATCGATCTATTTCCATGCCAACAATGTCATTTGATGAGGATGACAGTATATACGGGCCTGTAATTCCCGGTACCAGCAGGACGATCAGCTGTCTACCAAATACAAACCACCTGTTGCCAGGAATTGATAACCTTTCGCGACATTTACTGCATGTGACCCAGCTGTGACAGCTATTACGTGTCATGGGGTCGGACGACAAGACATTGTGACAGCTGACATCTGTTAAACTAAATTACTGGGAAAAGGAAAGGATGAGTGAGTTTAGTTTTACGCCGCATTTAGCAATATTCCAGCAATAAAACGGCGGGGGACACCAGAGATGGGCTACACACAGTATCCATATGGGGAGCCGAACCAGGGCCTTCGGCGTGACAAGCGAACGCTTTAACCACTGGGCTACTCTACCGCCCCGCAAAGGAAAGAATACACTCATGTGTGATAGTAGGGAAAACTGAAACAAGACATGGTGATTTGATGGTGATATAGGTGAGTGAGTATGGTTTTACGCCGTTTTGGCAATATTTCAACAACAATATCACGGCGGGGGGACACCGGAAATAAGCTTCACACATTGTACCCATGTGGGGAATCGAACCGGGTCTTCGGACGCCTGAAACACTAGGCTGTTACATCGATTAAATTCATAGTCTTTCCGAGGTTATATTCCTCATAGTCAGTTTTTAAATACATTATAATGTTTAGGTCAAATAGAGTTTTCAAGAGTAGACTTTCTCTTACATACACTGTATAGTAGTTAATTTGTCTTTGGTGCTTCAGATTGATGTGTCTATAACACGCTGTGTCACACTTTAGCACGAGCATTCGGTTCTACCACACCATGAACAGGTCCCCAACAACCTATGCTGGTTGTAAGTGGCGACTTAACAGATTGATGGTCATTCTCAGAGACATAACCCTTTGGTGTGCTGGGACAGTTGTATCCAAAACTGTCGGCACTAAACAAACAACTTGAAGTGCAAGTAACTTGACAAAAATGCATTTCAAGTTTCATAAATGGATTCAGTCAATTCCCCACAGAAAAAAATCGTAACATTTGCAGATAATATTTTATAACCAAATGTAAATATTAATATTAATCCAGATCCGGCATTTTCATTAACTATAGAACCCTAGAAGATACGGGTTAGAATTGGTCTTCAGCAACCCATACTTGTCCTAAGAGGCGACTAACGGGATCGGATTGCAACCAACATTAACTATAGAACCCTAGAAGATCCGGGTTAGAATTGGTCTTCAGCAACCCATACTGGTCCTAAAAGGCGACTAACGGGATCGGATGGTCAGGCTTGCTGTCTTGGTTCACACATGTCATCAGATCCCAATTG